GGTATTTTTTGTAAATAAATTTTTATAAGAGATTATTGAAGGCATTTTTTTGTCAAAAATACCTTCAACAAAAACGCCTTCAATAATCCCCTCAATAAACTTTTTCGTATGGATTATTGAAGGTGGTTTTGGCTGAAAACACTTTTAATAATTATTTTTCAAAATTTTTTGAATGAATTATTGAATGTATTTTTTACCAAAAATGCTTTCAATAATGCAATTCAATTTTTTGTAAGCTAATAATTTTTTTGTTTTGAGCCTATAATAATGGTTATGTTAATAACTGTCAGTATATAACATATTTATACTGATGGATAGTCATATATTGTCTGAAAAGTTTATTATATTGACGGTTAAATAGGTGTTGGTATAAGTATGCTATATTCTGACAGTATTAAAAAGTTATCAATGAAGTCTCTTTTACTAACGAAATTTAACCGTCAATAAATAATCCATATAAAAAATTTTTGTATGGATTATTAGATGCGTTTTTGGTTGAAAACACCTTTAATAATCGTTTTTCAAAATTTTTTAAATGGATTATTGAATATGTTTTTGGCAAAAAATGACTTCAATAATCACATTCAATTTTTTGTAAGCTAATAGGTTTTTTGTTTTGAGCTTATACTGACAGTTACGTTAATAATAGTCAGTATATAATATATTTATATTGACGGATAGTTATATACAATAAAAAAAATTTATTTATACCGATATTAAATAAAGTGTTGGTATAAATATAATACATTCTAATAATATTAAAATTTTGTTTCTTTTACTAACGAAATTTGACTATCAATATAACTAAGCATCGGTATATAGAAAATTTTTTGTAGTGCTATGACTTTTTGAAGTTAGAGACGCGTGAGGAGAAGAGACAGCTAATCTTCAATTAGTGGTATATGACGTTTTTTCAACATTAAAAATCTTGAGGTATGAAGGGTATTTTTTAATTATTCGGTCGAGCTGATGTGATAATCCTACAGCATTTATCCCAGTGTATTTCATCTAAATCAGTCTGGCTACCCACTTGACATCCAACCAGTTCCACTTGATCAAGCTAACTTGTCATCTTAATATTGGGTATTAAAAGATCATGTTAAGTCAGATCTCACCCACGTCGGCCCGATATCAACCACCTTAGGGTTGATTTCACTTAGATCGGACCATGTCATCCTTCGTGTATAAATATCCCTTCTCCCTTTCCGAATAGGTCAATCCACTCACTCCTCACATTTCGCTACTTTACAGATTTGCTCCCTCCCTCTTCATTTAGTTCTTGACTTGAGTGTTGGATCATGAAAGCTGGAACTACTTTCGACCTTTGTTTTTGATTAACTTTGTTGATTCAGGTGCTTGGCGTCACTCGGACTATTGTAGAAACATTTTGGCACATCAAGTAGGGGTCCTTAAGTCCGGAATGTCACCTCGAAAAAAGTGGTAAAAGAGGGAGATCACATTGCGACAGCAAAAGCCTTAAACACCAGAACCAGACTAGCCAACCTAACCTGAACCAACCCTCCAATTGCCAAGCAATTTGACGTTTTGGCTCAACGACTCCAAAGTTAAAAGAGCTCATCCAAACTTAATTCCACCTCAGTATCCAAAAAACCTACTGCTACCCAAAGAAATCAACTGATCCAAAAAAAGACTTACGAAGATGAGACTGGATCTTCAAGTCGAGAAAAAGTAGAAATCCCATAGAGTTGTAATCCTACTGCTTCTAAAGCTACTCACACCACTTAGAGAACAAAGTAAACCTCACTCGAGCTGGTAGCAAATAGAGAATTAAAAGTTCGGATGGAGGTGGTGGAAAGGGAAATGAAGAACAAAACCTCACTATTTGCAGACGAACTCAGGATTTTGGAGTCCTCAGTCCTGACCTTTCATGGAAGAAATAGATGGGGAGCTCAACCTCTTCAGGGCTTCAGAATGACGACTGTTGAAACCAATGATGGTACATTTAATCCCTTTAGCCATCTTGAGTTATTTCAAACTAACATGTCCATACAGGGAACGGTTGATCCTTTGATGTGCAAAGCTTTCTTGGCAATCCTGAAAGAAGCAGCGCTAGCTTGCTACTCTAGCCTTCAACCTAGGTCTATATCCTCGTTCAAAAAGCTCGGTCACTTGTTCTTGGCCCACTTTATAACCGGTCGACAAACCAAGAAAACAACTTTAAGCTTGATTACTATTAAGTAAAGATCGAGAGTGTCTCTAAGAGAATATGTAACCAGATTTAACATCGGGGCCCTACAGGTGAAAGATCTTGAACATTCAATGGTTGTGGCTGCTCTCATGAATGAGCTTAGTGAGAATGAGTTCCACTTTAAATTCTCCCTCTCTCTCGAACCCCCAAAACAGTTATCGAGCTACTTTGGCGAGCTGAGAAATATATGAACGTGAAGCCTTGGAAACAGGTTTTGATTTTGGTATATAAATTATCAAGTGGCAACTTCTAATCGAAACTTTTTCCAAATGCTACTAGAGAACTAGAAGTGACATCCGCACCATTCACAAAGCTGTTGGGACTTAGGAGAGGACGGCTAATTTTAATGAAAAGCTTTTAACAGGAAGCATAAAAATATTAAGAAGGAGATATCTTAACATGTAGAATTCAATATTTTAATGTAGAGGTCTCACATTCGAATGTTGAGAATGAAAAGTAATTAATATGATAGGAGTTCGCTTGCTACCTCTTTTTACATAACTTAAGTTCCGTAAATATCTATATATATTGAATTTGGAACTTAACCCAAATTGTTCATTCACCTTTATTAGAAGGTGCGGATTGTAACAAGACTGGAGTTTAATCTCTTAACATTTGTAAATTACTTTTCCTTAATTTTTTCTCAAGTCTTTAGCCTTTTTAAAAAAAAAATCTCCATATAAACTAAAAATAAAAGTGTAAATGAAACATGCTCTCTTAGTGGTAAACTTGTGCGCATGCCAAGTTCTACGCCAATTTCACAAGCTTTAACTTAACTCAAGCCGACTCTTAAATATGATTTTTAAAGGAACATATCACCTATAATCATTACAATACAATTAACTAATCACAATTTAAAAATATGCAAGGACTATCAAATTATTATTTGAAATTCACACTTATAAAAGATAGGTCTCTACATAATTTTTTTTATTGTGATCGGACAATTATAGTATTGTCGTAGAAAAAATTGCAAATGAAATGCTTTCGATTTTTAAGATCCAAACTTGACCTAATTTATATTATTTCCTCAATCTTAAAATGTTTATCATGTATTGATTTTCACGAAATTTAAATTTTTTTTTTATTTTAATATATTCAATTTAATAGATTTAATGTTAAAATTAAAACTTTTTTTATAAAATTAAAATTTTGTGATTTTTAATGTCAAAAAGTAAAAAAAAAACATAAAAAATAATTTTAAAATATAAAAAAATAAGAATTTTTGATGTTAAAAAAATGATATAATTTTGGGATATCTAAAAAAAAATGGAAAAAAAAATAGAGGGAGTATTATATTAAATAGAATTTTTAATTTTATTTTAAGGATAAAATATATTTAAGAATATTAATATAAAATACTTCAAAATAAATAAAAATTAAATAAATTGATTGGATCGAATGAAACTTGAATCTAAAATTTTAAGATATTTGAGCTTGACTCATAAATATTTTTATTTAATAAATTTTACTATAAACTAAAAAAAAAGGCAAAAGGAAACGATAATTAACATAATTGTTATGTTAAAACCTATGCAAATGTTGGTTTTTATTGTCTTAGTGATCTTACATGATAGCATGAAAAATCCTATGTAGGTGGACATTGGGAGCATCATTATGTGAAACAAGGCAAAATGGATGGAAAAAGCCCCATCTGCTGTAGACAACCAATAATGATGCTTTGGTTCAATGTACTGCATATTTTTATATTATAAATAAACAGTCACGTTCACAAACCTTTCGTAGGGTGTTTAATTTTGGTTTGCTGATTTTCAATGCTTTGGCAAAAAGCTTGACAAGCTTGTGGTGAGCAGTGTTGGAGAGTTTGGTGGAAGTTAGGCCAAGAAATCAGGTCGGCTTTTATGGCTTTGTGACAAATCAACATCAAACCCTTAAATTCAATGGTATATAATTAAAATAAAAACAGCCCATCCATAAATCAGGTAACAGTCCTTTTCTTCTGTGTGTTTTGGAGTGAATTTGAGTTGGGACCCGCTTCATCTTAACCCTCCTCTTCATCAACAAACCCACGATCATGATTTGATAATGGAGTATTAGAATTTGAAACTTGATTATTAAAATGAAATTCCACAGGTTTGGGTAAGCTCACATTTTGCAGTTTTTGACTATCATTGGTGTCTATTTCAACTAATTTCGATCTGTTGGCTACCTACTAATGTTTCTTAAAACATTTTTCATGCAGATTCTGGACATGTGGGTTCTCCTCGTATAAATCTAACAAGCCTTGCTCTATAGATTTTATTCCTATATATTCTTTTTTTTTTTTTCCATAGAAGTGCCAGCTGTCACCCAGATGCCGTACAATTCCCCCAGTCCCATGTAGTGGGATGGATGCCCCATCCAAGGCTACAACAGTTTAATGCTACGAGACCCCAAAGCCTGCCGAGGTGCAAGCCTCGCTGTTAATGAGTTGGTTTTCTTCTTTTATATAGTATTTATATATACGCATATATATATATATATATATATTTCTCATTGTACCGCGAAAATATATATTGCTCGCCTATGCATTTGCTAATCCAAGTAGCAAGTTAAAGTTTTACCCAAAACTGAAGAATGAAAAGAATAAAATAATTTCGCTGCACGCATCTGTAATTTTTTTTTAATTTTTAAAAATCTTTTGTAAAAGAAAAGAAAAAGAAAAACCCAATTGATGCAATCAATGAACGTCGGCAACGGTGCCAACAGATGTCTCTCATTTATTACGTTTCGGACTTCGTGTTGAAGTCCACCTCCACTTGGACAGCTCCGTCCATTTCCACTGTAAAACTCGTTCCTTTCACTGCTGCTACTTTTTTTTGTTCTAAATAATACTCCAAATTATCAAAGTGGACAAAACCAAAGCATACAAAAAAATTCTCCTACTATACTAGTATAATCTATAATCTATGCATAAACATAAACCCCTATATATATAGTATGATCTCTTTGTTAATAGCCTTATATTTATATGGTTCCATTTATATGTATATTTTGTTCTTAATTTGATCTTCTAAAGAAGCCCTATTTCTTTTTCCTTGTGAATTTGTGATACCAGAGCTTGAGCCTTGAATACACCAATTCTTGTGATTTAACATTATATCACTCAATACAATGCTTTTATTCTTGATATCTTGTTTCTCTTTCATTCTTCTATCCAAGTCATTGTCTTTGAAGAACCATTTAAGGATGAAGAGTGAGTGGAGATTGTTGTCACCATGGTTTTGGGAAGGCTTCTCAGGCTTTGTGGTGTCATGGTTCCACAAGGGTCGGCTCGGGATCAGTTTCCATCAACTGCCGACGATCTTGTCATTGAAGAAGAAGAAGAAGATGGGGCTTGGTTCTAACGTGCACAATGCGCAGGAAGACAAGATGGCTCTGCTGGATTTGCCTGAACTCGCTCTGGAATGCATTCTAGAGCGCCTTTCACCTGCAGGATTGTGTAGCATGGCTGGAGTTTGCTCTTCTTTTAGGGAGACATGTATAAGTGATCATCTTTGGGAGAAACACATGAAGCAGAAATGGGGTAAAGTAATTGGTGATGCTGCATATAGTGACTGGCAATGGCATATTGCATCAAGGAAGAGACCACATCTGTTGGGGCCAAGTCAGCAAAAGAGGTTTCTGGGATCTCTCACTAACATTTGGCCTTTCTCTTGGTTTAGACCAAACTTTGAAAGCAGAAGCAGCCTGCATAAAAAAAGTGATTTACCAGTTGATTCAATCATGTCATGGTATCTATCTCTGGAAACTGGCAAAATCTGGTTCCCAGCACAAGTCTACAATCGGGAGGTAATTAGTTTCCATATAGTGATTGTTTTAGTTGTAAATCAATGTTTTTGTTCATGGTTTTTAGTTTTTTACATTGGTTCTTTACCTATTTAATTTGCCCCATCTAACATATATTTTGCTCATTATAAAATTCGTTAAGTGAAATGATCTGTTTGTGATCGGTTGCAGAACGGACATGCCGGTTTCATGCTATCATGTTATGATGCCAAACTTATATATGATTCCCAGACTGACACCTTTCAGGCAAGGTATAGTATGATTTCTGTTTTAATCCAGAGTCTTGAGTTTCTGAATTTCAACATTTGCGCTGAGGACTCAAACTTTCACATCTTCAACAAATTCAATTCCCTTTCTCTATTGATCTTGTTTTTACTGAAATTAAAGGAATTTCAAACCAATCCAATAGCCAAAACAACTTGGGGAAATAGTGACTTTATGTGATTTTGTTAATCATCCAAGCTAAAAGCAATAGATAGGGACACTAAACTTGAAGATAAGATAATGTAAACTCAATATTTAACTGTTGTACGATCACACCTATTTTCACAGGCATGAGTAACAAGCAAGAACAGCCGAACAAAACTTGAGATATGATATTATGTTAAACATTCAACTTAAAATTAATTGTTTTTCAGTGAAAAGGCTCAACTTAAACATAAAACAGGAAACTCAATAATTAACGTATGTGGGATAGCATTCTTTTTAACATGCTTCATTGTGACACTTTACTCAAGCTGGATTTTGAACTTTAGGTACTCACCTCACGGGCGGCGAACCACGGAGGAGAATATATCCTGGGATAGGCTAAGAATACCACCAGTTGATACTCCTTCACATGATCTTCACATTTCAGAATGCTTACTTGACTTAAAACCTGGTGATCATATTGAAATCCAATGGAGAAGAAATAAAGAATTCCCCTGTGGTAAGTATCCAAACGTTGGGCCTTAACCTTTGAGAGAAGCTGTAAATGTTGTTTCCAATGTGAAATCAACCCACTATCAGATTTGGTGCTCAACATTAAAATTTTTACTTATTAGAAACAATATAGTAATTTGAGCTTAATTTCTTGCAGGTTGGTGGTATGGCGTTGTCGGTCACTTGGAATCATGTGATGAAAGTAAAAATCACTGCTGTTGTCAATACGCAGGTAAGAAAACTATCTCAGTATTCTCTACTTTTCCGGAAAATGTTTACAGCAAATTCAGCTTAAGTTTTGTTACAAGACCTAAATATGCAGGGCACTTACTTGATCTGCCTGGCATGTATGAAACATTCTTTTTGTTTTTTAAGTCTTTTTTTCTACAAAGTTTTTCTAGAACCAAAGGTGCTGACCACTATCATTGTTGACAGACACAGTGATGCTAGAGTTCAAGCAGTACCCTGCTAGCTCGAGATGGAGAAAAACAATGATAAACAGGAACGACCATAGAGAAGTAGGCAATGAAGCTGATGGATTTTATGGTGGAATTAGAAAGCTTTACAAGGAAGAGGAGATCTCAATGTGGAAACGTCTATGGCCAAACCAAGTCTTAGAATAGTTCAAGTATCTGTTATATTACCCTAATGCTCTGTAAATATGCCATTGCCACCTTTATTTTTCCTTTCTCTTTGAATTGTGAATGGGAAGAGATTTTAAAATCACTAGAAGCTATTTTATTATTAGATTTATATTAGGCTTCTATACTTTTTGACTGGGTTACATGCCTTGAGAGTCACCATGTTTGCAATTGTATCTTCAGCACCAAGCCATGTAATTTTGCAATGAGTTATAGCAAAAACAAATAAATAAATAAATAAACTGACTGACTTTTAGTTTTGAGATTTTCACTCGTAAAAAATTATATAATTTAGAAATTATATGGCAAAATTCATTAAAGGTTATCAATAATTATGAAATATTTCGACCTGGATTCTTAGTGTTCTATCTTTAGAATTTACTTGGTAAAAAAATGAAAAAGTGCTTTTGAAACACACTAGTCGGATTAACAATTTTTCTCTTTATCTCTTTCCATCTTTACTATCAAGTAAAGCTTTATCCATTATACAATATAATTCATCCGGTTAATAATAGGAGGAAAATAAGTCGGCTTGTGAAACGTGGCCATGTATTCTATCAAATCTAAGCATGAGAGCAGAGTGATGATTCAATGGTGAGCAAGACACGTATCGGAACCCTCTTCATCACTCAAATGGGGAATGGGCTTCCAAAATAAATTAATAAGCATAGTGATTGAACAATATTTGAAACTCAAGTCTTTCCTTTTACACATTCTACTTTTCATCGACTGATAGTCAAAGGGAGCATTGTCTGTTCTAAATTTCTCCTCGTCATTTCTGCTGCTATGGAGGGAATACTGTTGTACTGATTTTGGTGAAGGATTTGTTGCATGAGAGAGCAGAGCAATTTATTTATTTGTTTAAGGGCATATTTCTTGGAGCTTTTTTTTTTTTTTTAATTTATTTATCTAATAACTAAATGATCAATAGTATTTTTGGATGCATTATACGAAAAAATGATTGATGAATTTTCTATTATATATATTGTTAGTATTTTTTTATATTAGTGTAATGCTTACATTTTTGGATCTTTGAATCAAAATTATCAAATTTAAAAATATTATTTTAATTCAAATGAGTTATTGATTTAATTTTAATTCAAAGATTAAAAAAAAATAAAGGTTATATTAATATAAGTAAATTTTTCTTTATATATATATATGTATATATAATGAGAGAGAGAGAGAGAGAGAGAGAGAGAGAGAGAGAGAGAGAGAGAGAGAGAGAGAGATAAATGAGCTAAAACTTTTTTGGGCCAATGTACCAAAAAGAAAAGCTTGTTTGGGTGAAGCCTAGGTGGGATTCGGGTCTAATCTTGGAGTTCTTACTCATCTAACTCGTTTTCACTCTTCTTTTAGAATAATGCTATTTTTTTTATAAGATCGGTGATTAATTATATAACCACTTATTTTCTATGGATAGTTAGATTGTCAAATATTTTTGGCATATTTTTTTTTATTTAATACTATGTAGACATCATATTTGGTTTGAGGTTCAAACCCACTCCAAGCCCAATTATTTAATTTTTTTATTTTTAGTCTTTTTTAATCTAATTTTAATTTTTTATTATGGTTTATCTTTAATTTTAATTTTGTTTATCTTAAATATTTTATTTTATTAGTTTTTTTGAAAAGGAAAAAAAGGATAATTGAGAAAAAGAATAAATCATCAAAATCAATGAAGGGTCGATGATGTTTAGAAATTGAATTATTATTCTTAGGTGATAATTCATATTTTTTTTATTGAAATTGAATAAAAGATTTTTTTTTAAAGATAAAACTTAGTTCCAATTTGGTGATAAGATAAATTTTTTTCGAAGAATCCAATCTCAATTGAAACACTGATCAAGCCTAAACCCTCTCTTATAAATAGACCTCTAATTCACACAGTAAATCACACAACAAATTAAAAAGAAATACAGTGAGTAAAAGTCAAATTAGGAGAGTGCAAGTTTTTAAGTTGTTTTTTGAAGGTTGTTGGAGAGATTAGAAGGAGAAACATCAAATTGAAAGATCAAATTTTGCAAAGAGAAGCTTTTTGAAAGTTTCTTTTTCTTTTGATTTTTTTTTTGAAAATTCCAGTTTTTTGGTTAAATTTTCTGGCGGTTTCAAGTTTTTTGACGTAATTTAGGTGAAAATTCCAAATTTTGATTTTTTTTTCCAAAATTCGATGAAGATTTTAACGGTGTTATTCCTTGGTTAGAAAGAGAAGTAGAGAAAATAAAATGTAGAGAGAAAGAGTATAAGGGATTCCGAAGGAAAAAGACCAAAATTCAGCCTTTTATATAGTTTTAAAACGTTGTCATTTTGCAACCCCTGACTAAAGTAAGGTCTACATGCCGCCTCGAAGTCCAACCTAACCCGTAGCGCATGACCCATTTTCAACAACTATCTCACAAGCTGAGTCGAGCCATGTTGCCAATTGCTTCAACCATCTTCTGTTCCTACAATTGAGCCTTTTTTCCTAACTGAGTCGAGTTGATATCATTTCCATCATTAATTTTTTTATTTGCTTTATTTGATTTAAATTTTATTTGTTTTATTTGATTTTTATAAAAAATGATTTCAAAATAAATTCATAAGTTCTACCAAACTATTAGAGAATTTTTATAGGTTTAGATTTTTTTCTTGAATTATGAGTTCTGCTAAACTATTGGAGAATTTCATAATAAATATGAAAATAAATAATTTTTTAATCTTATCAAACTATTGGTGGATTTAAATCTCTAATTGAGTTTTATCAAATTATTGGAAAACTTGATGGATTTTCTTTAAAAAAAAAATTTCATTTCTACCAAACTATGGGAGGATTTAGATCTCAGTTGAATCTTATTAAACTATTAAAAGATTTAATGACTTTTTTAAGATTTCATGGATAAGTTTTCAAATAAAAATTCCCACTAAACTATTAGGGGATATACATCGAAATAAAATTCTACCAAACTATTAGAGGATTTTATTGATTGTTTTCTAATGATTAATATCTTGAAAAACATGTTAATGAATATGATGATGGAGTCTCTCCAGAGTGAGACACTAGTATCCATAAATACTTATGAAGTGAAAAATTATCTTAAATTGCTACTAAACTATTGGAATAATTTTAAGAACAGTTTTTGATAATTAAATTACTTGGTAAAATAAAAATATGTTTTAAGGCTTGAATGATACGAAATCAAATTGGTACCATCTTTTGGATAGGCATTGTAAGGATGCTATAATCTTTCTCATACGTAACCATACTCCTGAACCTAGTTCTGGTTTTATAGAATAAAATCTACCTTTTCAAGATATCCAAGTCAAGTTTGGGACATCTTTTTAAAATAGGATAAATTCACTTAGGTGACTAATTGCTCATAAACAAAAAAGATTAGTGGTGACTTTTTAAGTTATATATGGAGATAGGTTTATAGATCTATATGTTATGATAGTTTGGTGACTAAGCTGGGGATGTCGAGAGTTAAGTTAATAAATGTTTTCGTATTATCCAAGCCTAACTTAATAAATTTATAAATTTTTATTTTGCATTTTATGTTTTACATTAATCATGCCATATATTGTCATCTATTTGCAAGTGCATAACATGGGCTCTACACCCAAGCTCCATCCTTTAAGAGAGAGTAAAATACCTATGCTTTTATGAGAGTTCATATCTCAATATAGGCTAATGAAATACTCTAATTTAAATTGAACCATTTTCATTTGTAGCCTATGATAGACGAAGATTGGGATGTCTTACTAGTCTGTGATGAATAATGATATAAGGAACAATTTGAAAACTTTTAGAATTAACCCAAACCACATGTAGTTAACCTTATGAACCTAATCTATCAGTGAAGCCATGTTGTCCCCTACTTTTTTATAATTGATTTGTTTTGTTCTAATGTGCTTTTTATTTATTTATTTATTATATTGAGTTAACTAATCAATTTTTTTACTTGTTTTTCTTTTTTGCATATTCATAAAACATGTATATAGAATGCATAACACCTACTCTGAACATATTTCCAACAAAAGCTTTCATGGAACCTACTGAACATCTAGTTTGTGTTTCATCTATATTTGTCAAGTGTGAGTCACCCAATGAGTTAAAAATTGAACAAGAAAGAACACAACAAAAAGAAAAAGATTGTCTACCACTTGGCTATGCCTTTACACTGCCCAAAGAAATTCAGTTGCTCTTCAAAAAAAATGATCTAGAAGACCTAACAAACATGTGAAAAAACATGAGTTCATTATGATAAGAAGCCTTTTGTCAGAAGTTCTACCATATTACACACCTCTTGTCAGTGAAGGTGGAAAATTCACTCATTGAAGCAATAATGTAGTTTTAAGACCACCCTTCCTATCGTTGCTTTATCTTTAATGAAGTTGACATGACAACGACCATAGAAGAGTATTCGATTTTAGTAAGCATGCATCTCTAACATCCAGACAAAGTTTATGTGAAGAAACAAAAGCTAGGATATCATAAAAAGTTGGCTTATATTTTAAGAGAAGACAAAAAGTTCATAGATTCACATGTTTAAGAAAAAGAAGTACATAACGATATTTTTTAGGAATTTTTCCATGACTTTTCGTAAAACATCTAGATAATGACCAAAGACTTAATGTGTTTGCCTTGACAATATATGGTATGGTGATTTTTCTTAAAGTCTTGAACTATATTTAGATAGAAGTGATAGATTTTTTTTGAGTAGATAGAAAAATGATACAATCTTTCATCGACAATCTTAGTAGAAATCATTAGGTCATTGACCTATTGTCAACAAAATGATAAAAGGGCATTTTTTGGGCTATAAATTGTTGTTGTACTTGTAGATGATGAGCCATTTTTAATGCAAAAAGAATGCTTTCTCTAAACTTTATTTTTTTAATTAAAATTCAATCAAAGAATTCTTCGAAAGCAAATGGCCTTAGACGAAGACAAAAAAAGAAGAAGGAATGTTTGTTGTAAAAGCTCACAAGTAGCCAAGTGAAATGGTTTGTCCCATGGATTAGTTGAGAATCCATGTATATCAATATGCAGATGAAACTGGGGTTTCACTTTTAGGCTTGTGGGGATCAACAAGCTATGCATCACGTATGGAGAAAAAGTAAGATAAAGCTGAACAGTTTGTCCCTATAACACACAAGGCTAATCAATTAAATTGTTTGTATGATGAGCCTAAAACATTTCAAAAGATCGATATCATAATCAAGGTATGAAAAAAGCCTAAGAGGGTAAGTCTTAGATCTTTTACTGACAAGGTCACCTTA